AAAATTAGTACCAAAATTGATTTTTAGTAACCCTTTTTATAACATTTTGACTATTAAAAGTTGAATTTATACATTCAATAAAATAAAATTCAAATATATCAAATGCTTGGAATAATGGACATTTAATAATATTAGACCTTAAATGTTTAAGTTTTTGATTGATGGATGTATTGCTAGGATATGAACTGGGTCACATGCTACAGTTGTCAACCGGGTCTACCAAAGAACACCTCCAGAGGGAGAAACCAGAGTAGTGGTAAATCTGACCGGGTGGGCTGTAACCACCCGGGTGGATTTCAGACCCTTGACATTTTCAGCCAAAAAAAAGTTTAGAAGAGAAATCCTTTAACCAGCCGGGTGAGATTTTGGGAAGATCCACCCGGGTAGTTTACCGGGGATCATGTGTATTTAGAGCTCAACATTTTTGGGAAGGTAGTGTTTGGAAGGAATCAGATATGTTTCTTCCAAATGCTACACGACAAGACACAGTGAGTGTCAATCTTGGAAGAAAAACACTACAAGACAAGAAGGTGTCACCTCGTCACATGGCTCACTAGGGGCGAACGAAGCCCTGTTCCCCCTACTATCCTATAAATAATCTTGTAACCCTCAAGGGATCTAATTTATTTCTCTAGAAAACTTATTGTGTAATTCCTCCATGTACTCTTCCAAATATTTAATAACAATTAGACTACAGGTGTTCCCACGTAAAATCCTCCCGATCAATCTGTATTCACTGCATCTTCTTAGTTTTTAACCTTAGTAAATCACCCTAGACCCAATCTAGAGTAATTTGCCCCGGATGATAATTTAGACCATCATTTTTGGTGCCATCCGTGGGACTAATTTGAGCTCTCTTTTATTCTCACCCACGAAACACCACTAAGAAAATATGTTAACCAGTTAGCAGAACATCGCCAACTCCGTGCAAAGGCAGGCCACTACCGAAGGAATGAGTGTGCCGGCAGTTACCTCCCATGCTACACTCTCTGCCACGATGATTCCGTTGGGTCTTAACTATATCACGGCTCCAACCATCACCGCACCATCTGTCGGACTAATGGTTCCTTTTCCAATGGCTTTGAAGGGTGACCTTCCCACTGACCATGGCGCAATTTATTAACGACCCGGTCAACTTAAAAGCAATGTATATATGTATGTGTATGTATGTATGTGTGTGTGTCTATATATATATATATATATATATATATATATATATATATATATATATATATATATATATATATATATATATATATATATATATATATATATATATATATATATATATATATATATATATATATATATATATATATATATAT